ACAGTGTATACAAATATTATAAAGTGCTCTTTAAAGTGAAATTGATCATGATAAATGTATAGTTGATTTGTTGCATACAGTCATTTAAAGGATGAACTGTAATGTTTCTCTGTTTTAGCTCAGTTCATCAGAAGAGATCAGATCCAGAGTCCAGCTGTGTGTCTATGAAGAGTGACGCGTCTATGGATCCGCCAAATAAGTTTAAGAGTGGAGATACACGGCCTGCTCTCAGGTATAACATTTGTATAAAAATATCAGATTATAGCATGACTGTCGGAGTAGGTTTCTGCAGAAAGCACACAACGCAGGACATAAGAAGAAACACACCGTTTATTTCCAGTAAGGTTCTGAGCACACAGGGGTAACTAAAGTAGCAACAACCACATTAGCATCAATGACACAGAACAATGAACAGACGGAAATCAGGGTTTAAATACACAAGGGTAAACAAGCAAACTGAATGAACGACAGCTGACCTTAATTAGGGACTAACAGGCACACACTGGGAAACTGGTGCTGTGTTCAAAATTCATACTATCATAATACTCATAATATTTCTGCTGTGTCCAGTATGTACTGTATACTGTGCATAGTATGCAAATTTTCTGTACACATCGAATACCCAGATGATCTACTATATTTCCCAGAATCTGCAAAGATATTAAATAATGCAAAGGTATTAAATAATAATAATATTGCAGTAAAATAATATTTAAAAACATATAATATATAAATTAAAATAATATTTCAATTACGGAAACAGACTTCAATCTTGAAAAAGAAATGGAGTGTCTATTTACTCTAAGTGCAAATATCCCAATTTGTTGGCAGAGGATATTAACTCCGCCCACCAATGTCTAGTTGGTATAAACAGCACTACAAAAGACGCACATTCACCTGAAGTATCAGTGGCATAGGGAGTAAAACCTGAAGCAGTTGTTTACAAGTATGAACTCTCATTAACAAACCTTTGTAAAAAGAATAGTTAGCACATTTATTTGTAAGGTAACAGCCTCAACAGCTGTGCTGAATCAGTGTTTGTCATGTGATATCGCTACTCTGAAACATTATTTGTTGCTTATTGTATACTGATTCACACACTTTTCTTAAAAAAAAATAGTAGGCAGTATGCACTGTGTACTGGGCAGTAAGCAGTAAGTTAGTCAGTCCCTCCAGGATTTTTCAGGACTTTTTTCGGACTTCTGCAGCCTACAGTGACTGATTTTGTGGCGGCATTTCTTGTGTTGTTTTGCAGTGAAAATATACCACAGACAACATTGTTCTAACATTTTTATTACCTTTCTGACCTCAAGAATCACTGGGCTCTTTAATTTATAAAAAGAGAACGCTGAAAAATTAAAATAAATATTTATCATATATCATATTTAATACATTAATTTCTAAGGACTCTAAATTACCAACATTAACAATCTCTACAACATGATCAAAATCATTAGAAAAATCATGTTAAAATCTATCAAATAATGATACAACAGTGTTTTGAGGAACATTTATTTGTTCATCCCGCAATCATTGTAGGCGTACTGAATTGCACACTGTTATAACAAATCACAGAGACGTGAATGAATGTACGCTTGTCGCATGATCCACAAATGCACATTTTCCTGATCCACAAATGCACATTTTAATCGTTACATGCACAAATTATGATACTTTAATACAAACTATAACATTTGTATTTACAAATATGTCTCTATTTGAACAAAATGCTGCACATTAATGTAATTCTTAACTCTGCAGACACCGGTTGAAAAGCATTTGTTTCAGTGTAGTGACGCACTTTTTTTTTTCAAATCGTGTACACATTAATGAATTGCACTGGGCCTTGTTCGTTGGTAGTTGTGTGTGTGTGGAAGACGTGAAATGCTGTAAACTGCGAAAATGAAGTCTCAAAATCCAAACGAACCGAACAAGATCGACTCGAACTAGACGTCAATTAATGCACTCGTGTCACCTGATCCACTTATGCACGGATTCCCTTTTGCATGAGCAATTTATGATATATTAATGCAGAACAGAAAATGTTTATTCGCAAACATGTCTGTATTTGTACAAATCGCTGCACAATCATTTAATCCCGAATTCCACAGACTCAAATTGAAAGTCATTTGTTTGTGGTTAGTAAGATACAGTATAAAATGTATGCAGTACATGGATAATTGTGCGTGCATCTATTAATCATTTTGAGTCTAATTTCATCCCATAAGCGTGAGCCTCTAGGCAGTGTTGACAAACTGAACTGTTGATAGAAAAGACGTCACAGAGCATGTGCGCTCCTGTGTGTGTGTGTGTTGGAGAGCATGCACGCTTTACAGTGGGATGAAGCAACGGCGCAAACAGAAGTTTAGTGATCGATTCGAACTGGGATGCTATCTGGGAAATCTGAGAATTTAGAAAAATTGCAAGGTCCTCCGAATTATGCAGAATTTGTTTGATTTTGTGTAAAATTCTGCGATCGCAAAATCCTGGAGGGACTGGTTAGTGTGCCATTCTGAACACAGCATGAGTCGAACATACAATGCCAGGGAACATGATCTCAACTGTTGACAGACTTTAAATGTCATATATTATCAGTTCAGTTCACAATTTCTGTATAAACAGTGTATGAAATGACTATAAAGTGCTCTTGAATGTGTAGTTGATTTGTTGCATACAGTCATTTAAATAATGAACTTCAATCTCTCTCTGTTTTAGTTCAATTCATCAGAAGAGATCAGAAGCAGAGTGCAGCTGTGTGTCTATAAAGAGTGACATGTCTACAGTTAGGTGAGTATATTTCAAGAATAGAGATACACGGTGTGGTCTCAGGTATTTAGATATGATCTGAACACATGATACAGAATACACAAGACATTGTGCTAATTAACATTTTATTTTGCAGTTATGAAGTCCTCAACACGTTTAGATCAAATCTGATGAAGTTTGAGTGTCTGTATGAGGGAACAGCGACGGAGAGAAACCCAACACTGCTGAATGAGATCTACACAGAGCTCTACATCACAGAGAGTGAGAGAGGAGAGATCAGTAATGAACATGAGGTGAGACAGATTGAGACACAGTCCAGGAGAGCAGCAACAGAGGACACAGCCATCAAATGCAG